AGCTAGTGCTCGGGGCAGGGGCAGTACACAGGCTTGCTGTTGGCTGCTTCTGGGGTGCAGCACAATCTGCAGTGCCAGGACAGGCAGGAAGCTGCCTTAGCACCTCCACTGATCACCCTACAGCAATGAGACCCAGGGCCTGACATTCCACGACTCAGGACTGGGTCATGACCCATAGTTTGAAAGCCACTGCTCTATAGGCAGCTTTATTCCCTCCCCAGTCCCACCTATGGATTTCGCCACAATTAGCCTAAGTATCATGGCTGGCTTCGGGACTTCTATGTGCCCCTCATGGGTCACTGCACCTGGAAAGCACCATTATGGGCTGGGAGCCCAGTGCCAGCATGGGACTGGCTGGCAGCTGGGGGACACATGAAGTAACAAAAGTGGAGTTTGCCGATTTCTACTCTGTTGCCATGGGGGTTCCCAGGCTTCACCCTGGAGGCCAGAGAGACTTCATGGAGCGTGTGCTCATGTGTCCAGCTCCGTCCCCCAGCCCAGTTGTGCTATTTTCAGGTGTGACTCCCTGCCGCAGCACGCTTCTCCCTGGGGGGCGCTGGCCGGGGGAGATGGAGTTACTGCTTGGTGGGTGGAGTCCCCTCTGCTGCACCTGGTGAGCTGCACAGAATGGGGGAAGGTGGGGAACATGGCAAGCTGGGCCAGGCCATGCTTTCCCTCCGCTGAGGAGGCCAGCCCTGGCTCTCTCCCCCCCACGAAGCTGGCATGAAGAGGCGTGGCTGAGGGACCCACCTCACTGTTCTTCCTTCCCTTGAAGTAGCTGTGTTTGAAGGACTGTCTGTTTGGAGGGACCGTCCTCACACTCAACAAACTCTGTCTGTCGGCTGGTCAAGCCATTCAAGTATGTGAGATACAAGAGGCCACTCCTAGGAGGAGGAGAGATGCTGACACCTCCTTCTCCTCTTCCTCTCTGCATCCTTCGGGGCAAAGGAAGACACAACCTTGCTTCTGCTTGCTCCAGTTCCTCTGAAACTATGGGGTTGGAAGGAGCTATAGGCCTTCAGTCAGTAGCAACCCCAGACCACAGAATACAGGGGCATGGGTAAAGAGAGGGAGTTCGGCCAGTAAACGGAAGGAGACTTCCCCTTAACCTGGGATAGCAAACAGCTTCTTCTGCTTCTGCTCCAGGGTTTCCTGGGGAACCTGTTATTGGAAGGCAGCCATAGTGAGTTTCCAGCAGGAGGAATGGGAAAGCAACAGGGGGCACCGTGGTCAAGAGGCAAGGCACAGGATAGGGTGCAAGGCCATGGAAGGGAGTTGGAAGCAATGGAGGGAGAGGCTGCAGGACCTGTGGGTAATGGGAGGGGGAGCAAGGGAAAGCAGTGGAGGGGCAGAATTGCCACAATGCACGTTTGCCCAGGCAAGTTTCCCTAAAGCCAGCCCCGAATCACCAAGAGACAATTCTTTTTTTGAGAAAATGGTAAGTAGTGAAAGTGTTTAGTATGCAAATGCAATCTCAGCCCTACCACCACCAGCAGAATAGCACAGACATATATTGTCATGAGAAGCAGACAGACCAGGATCTAGATACATTCCCTTTATGCATGGAATAATTACTTACACTAAACAGAAAAGGGAAATTAGATAGTGTTATTTGTACACGAAAAATTGTCAAGAACAAGTTCATCCATAGTTATACCTTTTCCATTAAACAAAAATACACCATGACAGAAGTTCTTGCTCATACTTAATCTTCAGATAACCTGCACCATGTAAAACATAGTTTGTACATTATTAAAATAGGAGACTCATTTTGGGAATTAACTTTTAAAAGTATCAGGAATTTTCTTCTTTCGTTACCTGCATATAGAGTAAGTTCACTGAAGAGCTACAGTTCATTAGCATTTTATCATGAGAGGGATCCATATACCTGACAAATGCAAAAATATTCCACTTTACTTTTCTAGGCACAACAATCAGCATTTCCATTTCCATGCAGTTGGGAATACAACCAAAAAGTAACAGAAACAGAAAGATACCGCTACTCACAAAGCAGTACAAGACAGCTATGTTACACCATTGAAATTACACATCTGTGAATTATGCAAAAAAAATTACTCTTATACAGCATTGTAGCAAATAGTCTGCGGCATGGAATAAATTCAATTGCTCACCTGCTTTTATCGCAGTACCCTGGAAAACGATGAATGTAGAATCCAAGTGTTAAAAAAAAAACCATCAAATGTTTCTCTTGCATGTGATTAAAACTTAGGGCCTATCTACATGGAGAAATTGAATGGTGGAACTAGACCAGTGCTGTTACATACTATAACTTCCAGTGTGGAAACACTTATTCCAGTCTGGGTGCCTTTTTGTGGTTTAGCTTTCACTAATTCCAAGCACACACAAGCCAGAGGTTCTCAAATTGCATCATATTGCAATATCTTTCTGATAAAAATTATTACATGACCCCATGACTGAAGCCTGAGACAACCTCTAGGGGTCAATTGTGGAAGAACTCTGTACATATGAAGTATAGGGGTGGTGAGGCCTGCATTCCCCCTTCCCTTCTCCCCTCCCCCTTCACCTACTACTGACGAGGCAGAAACAAGCCTCTAGGAACATACGCCACTGTAGCAAGAATGAATTGTAGATAAGGGCAGGAACATAATCTTCTTTACCTAAATGTACTGATCATGTAAACAAAGTCAAAGGACAAGCAGTGCAGATGAGCCATACTGTAACAAGTGATGAGTAACCCCTGGAAATTTACAAACTGCCAAACAAGGTAGACACACAATATTTAAAGCTGCACCAGAGCACAGCAATTTGGACCTCACCGATAGGCTTTGGGTACCGGAAGCTGAGACAGTCTCTCACTTCATCTGCAGCCGAAACAGAGTACCCTGTCTAGCAGAAGGGATGTAAGAAATGCCACTCTTCCTATCATGTTCTTTTAGTTAAGGGGCACAGCTGATAGCGGTCAGAAAATAAACTGCTTGTGTTTGACAGATAGATACCTCTGTAGCATGTCTTTGTACTTTGAGAACCCAGTGTTGGACCTGAGATTTACTCTTCCCGGCAACATTTGGCACAGCGAGCAGGGTTCTCTTGGTACAAATCGCTCAGCATGTGGAAGAAGGGGAAGCAGATGGGCGAGGGAGAGAGTAGGGTAGAGAGCTAAATTCCAGGCTGGCCTTGCACATCAGCCTGGGGTGCGGTTGCTCAAATCTGGTATGATGTAATGCCTGCCATGCGGTTTGAGGGGGAGCTAGCTGATGGGGTCAGTCCCGCTGGTATCCAAAAGGTGCTGGAGGCATTGGAAGTGCATAAGGAGGATAAGGGGGTGCGACAGGCTGGATGACTATTCCTAAGCACATTCCGCAGTGTATGTGAAGAGGAGAAGGAATAAACAATGTTTTTAAAGCAAGTATTGCCAAAGTTTAGGCATGGCCCATGGTCTGGCAATATTTTAACTTGTTTATATTATGCAGACCTTGAAAGCAAATTGGCAAACGTTTACAAACCCTTAATCTCACTCAAAAAAATACTGCTGCAGTCTGGCTGCTATGAAAAACCCTGTACTGAGGAGTTTAAAAAACAATTAGCTGACTGCAAAACTGAACATTTGGATTTACCCATGTAAAGGAATCAGAAGGTATGATGCCTAATCAAGGAGCTCACCCTTCTTACTAAATTAGTAAAGGACAAAACCTATGTCCCTGGAAAGGAGCCATCTAGCAGAAAAGCAGGTTCAGGTACAGACCATAAGAAAGAAATAAGCATGTGAAAGGGGGTAAGAAGTTTGGGGCCCTGTGTGGGCATAGTAGAAAGAATAAGAAAAACAGTAGTACAGGCATTGGAAAGTTTTCATTTGAGGGACCACGCAAGTGATTAAGGGTATGAGAAGGTGAGAAGTTGACTCCCTGGGAGTGTGGAAGGAATTAAGCAATTGTTGTAATGTGTGAGAAGAAAACCTGCTATAAAAGGACTCCTTGTTTTTGTGCAGCCTCTTTCCTAAGCAATGTGTAAATAATCCAGGCAAAGAAACAAGCTAATTAAAACAGTTGGCTATGGACACTTTTGTTAAATTTGCTAAAAGGGAAATTGAGGCATACCACCTTTAACTTAATAATTGAGCAGTGAAGTAATTTACCCAAACCCTCCAAAGCTGGTTTACAAAATAAAAGCATAAGTAATTATTGGGTAACAGCAGGCTGATCAAGAAGTCAGCAAAAGTAAAGTGAAGTTACTCACCTTTGGTGCAGTAACTGTTGTTCTTCGAGGTGGTGTCCCCGTGGGTGCTCCACTATGGGTGCTGGGCTTGCCCCGGTGCAGCAGACGGAAGCTTGTGATGAGCAGTGTTCGGCCGGACTGCGCATGTGCCGCGGGCTTGTGGCTTTCGCACTCTTTTCTGTCTTGCGCGGTCTGGCCCACCACCAGATCCTCGAGACCACCTCGGAGTCTGTAAGAGACAAGAGCAGAGAGAGAGAGGGACTCTGAAGCGTGGAGGAGGGTGGGTAGTGGAGCACCCGCGAGGACACCACCTCGAAGAATAACAGTGGCTGCACTGAAGGTGAGTAACTTCGCTTTCTTCTTCGGGGATGTCCCCGCAGGTGCTCCACCATGGGTGACTGCGTAGCAGAAGTCGCCAGAATGGAAGGAGGGCAAGGAGTCCCTATTTATCTGCTGTGGAGAGCACCGCAGTCGCCACTGCTCCATCTGAACGAGTGATAAGAGAAATAGAATAGTGTTTGGTGAAAGTCTCATGTGAGGGCCAGGTCAACGTCCTGCAGATGTCCTTCAGAGATACCCCTCTAGGAAATGCTGTAGATGTGGCCGTGTCTAGTGGAGTGGGCGTGTGGTTGGGATGGAAGGGGTAAGCCTTTCACTGCGTACGATTGCATTATGCATGAGGTTATGAGATTGGAAATCCTCTGGGAAGATAGGCATTGACCTTTTGACCTCTGTGCCAAGGAGACAAATAAGTGGTCCGTACGCCTGAAAGGTTTAGTGCGATCTATGCAGAATGCTAAGGCCCTGCGGGTGTCCAAGCAGTAGTGTAGGGCCACTTCTCGTGGTGAGGCATGGGGCTTCAGGAAAAAGGTTGGCATGATCACTGGTTCGTTGACATGGAAATGTGAGATGATTTTGGGTATGAATCTTGGGTGTAGTCTCAAGACTACTCCATCCTTACAGAAAATTGTATATGGTGGCATGGCCATCATGGCGGAAAGCTCGCTCACTCTGTGTGCCGACGTTATGGCAAGCAGGAAAACGGTTTTCAAAGTGAGGAAATGCAAGGATACAGTCTCAGGAGGCTCAAATGGTGGCCTCATTAGGGCATCGAGGACTACATCCAGGCTCCACACCGGTAGGACTGGGTCGTGCGGTGGGGCCATGTTGGTAAGGCCCTTGAGAAATCTCTTAGTAGTAGGATGGGCGAAGACAGAAATGCCATCTATCAGTGATATGAATGCTGATATTGCTGCAAGGTGCACCCCGATGGAGGCTAACACGAGGCCTTTGTCCTTTAGGTGCAATGCGTAGTCCAGGACAGAGGTGATCAACGGACGTGTCGGAGCGTGGTGGTTCGAGATACACCAGGTGGAGAATCTGTGCCACTTGTGAAGGTAAGTTTTTCTCATGGTTTGTCGTCTACTGTGTACTAGGACGTGCTGGACTGGAACGGAGCAGAGGGATTCGAATGGAGTCAGCCCGTTAAGAACCATGCTGTTAGGTTCATCATTTGTATCTGGGGGCCTTTCAGGCGTCCTCGGTGTTGCGTGAGGAGATTGTGGAGAAGCGGAAGGCAGATCGGTGTCTGCGCAGAGAGACAGTGGAGGAAGGGAAACCAGTGCTGGTGAGGCCAGCCCGGGGCTATGAGGATTAGTGTTGCCCTGTCCGCCTTCAGCTTCTGAAGGACTTTGGGAATCAGAGGTATGGGGGAGAATGCATAGAGGAGGGGCCTGCGCCAAGTCGTAGAAAGGCATCTCCCAGGGATGCGCAGCCTAAGCTCGCCCTGGTGCAGTACTTGTGGCATTCTGTATTTGCGGGAGTTGCAAAGAGGTCCACTTGGGGAGTACCCCAATGTTGGAAGATCTCGCGTAGGACGCCATCGTGCATTTCCCATTCGTGCTTCACATGGAAGTGTCTGCTCAGGAAATCTGCCATTACGTTTGTGGTGCCAGGTAAGTAGGATGCCGTAGGTGTTATTCCATGGCAAATGCACCAGTTCCAAAAGCGGATGGCTTCCGTGCATAGGGAACGGGAGCAACTGCCGCCTTGGCGATTCACGTAATACATGGCTGGGATGTTGTCCGTGAGTATTCTCACCATGGCGTTTTGAATGTAGATGAGGAAGGATTTGCATGCGTTGAAAATGGCACGTAGCTCTAGAAGGTTTATGTGGAGCCGTGCTTCTTCTGGGGACCATTGGCCTTTGACTGAGAGGGAGCCCATGTGAGCCCCCCAGCCTAGTATGTTTGGGGGGAGGGCCCCCTGCCAATGGAAAGGTATACCTGACAGCAAGTTTGCATGGCAGGAGTGATTGGAGAATGCCAGGTGGCGGCGTTACTGGCCTGTGGAGATCGTATCTGGGGTGGTGGTATACGAGGGTCAGCCAGTACTGAAGGGCGCGCAGATGTAGTCTGGCGTATTTCACCACGTACGTTGTGGGGGCCATATGACCCATCAGTCTGAGGCATGTGACTGAGGCTCTCGGAGCCATCTCAGCGCTCTGCGCCAGAGTGAAGGGAAGCAGCTGAGCGGGTGCTGTCTGGGAAGCCGGCGTTTGGGAAGCCTCCCGTGGCCGCTTAGGCTTCGGAGCAGCTGAGGCAGGGGGACGTGGCTTTACATTGCCAGACGTCCCGGTTGTGTCTGCCTGGTTTTCCCTGCCATTAAAGGCAGCTGGCAGGGATCTCACTGGGG